TATGACAAGATTTACAGTACCTAGATACATCTGCTTTAAGGCCAGGCCAATAAAAATGACTGAGAATTTTATGGTAGGTTTTATTAACACCTAAATGACCTGCCATGGGTGTTTCATGAGCCAAGTTTGATATTTCCTGGCGATATGATTTAGGGACCACAATTTGGTGATTAACAGTCCACTCCTCTTCAGCAGGGACATCGGGCGGTCGCCATTTTCTCATTAAAATCCCATTATTTTCATAATAACAAAAGCCTTTTGAAAAGGACTGAAATCTCAGGATCATTTTGTTGTTCCTGGATAAGCTGTGACCTTGACAGCGTATCATGACCTTTGATCTTTAGATCTTTGGTGTAGAAAAAATCAGATATTGAAAAAATCTGTCTGAGTTTCAGGCAGAGTAGGAGTGAGAGAAAAATTTATTTCATTATCAAAAGACACTGACCTATAAAAGTATCAGCTAAGTCAATATCTGAACAATAATTGTCTTATTGAATGGCCTTCTTAGCCATAGCTCGAGTAACTGCACACGAAGGATAAAGGTCAGGAATTTTCCTGCTCAATGGGGTTAGGTATCTGATCCACACAAGGAGTGTCAGTTACAAGTGGATTAACCACTACCTTATCTCCAGCCTAAGTCATTACCTAGCAATAAATGGACACCTTTAAAGGGTAAGAAAGATATTATACTTATACCAACAGCCACCGGCCCAGTTACCAAATCTGAGGACAAATAAATATTATGGAGAGGGACATTAGAAAAACCACACTCTACACCCTGAATAAGGACACTAGATCCAGAAGAAGTCTTCTCAGAAAAAGGCAGTGTATCTGCTAAAATAAGAGATTGAGAAGCTCCTGTGTCTCTTAAAATTTTAATAGGAGTAGGTGGGCAAGTGTCACCGACAAGTGACACGGAACCTTCCGAAAGGAATAGTTCATAAATCTCCATTATAGAATCAGACTTGGGTACTTTGACCTTCAAAATTGCCTTGTTATCAATACAAGACTGAGGTTCAGACCTTGAAGTGGTAAGACCTGTGGGTTTGGCCTCATCACGTTGCTGTTGCCTCCTTTTTAAGGTAGAACAATCAGAAATAAGATGTCCAGTTTTCTTGCAATAATTTGCATGTAGGACGAGATAAGGGACTAATGACCTTTATGTTCATCAGCTTGACTTTGGTTTGGGAGTATTTGACTGACTAGATAAGGGCCAGATAAATTACTAGAACTTAAACTTCGAATCAAATGTGAAGGTGTGGAACTTTCCCTTTACTTCAAAAATGAGACTTTGTGGGGCTTAAAGAATCAATCAATCAGCTGAACGGGCAGCTTCTTCTTAAAGTTTCTACCCTGCTTTTCATCTAAAAAAGATTTAACATCAGAGTGAATACAACGTTTAAACTCTTCAACTAACATGAGCTGTCTGAGCTTTTCATGATTTTTATTTATTTTCTTAGATAGACACCACCGATCAAAAAGTTGTTCTTTTTCTCTTGCAAATTCGACATGGGTTTGACCAATTTCTTTCTTAGAATTTCTGAATTTTTGCCTGTAGGCCTCTGGTACTAACTCATGACCTTTCAGAATTAATTATTTTACATTATCATAATTAGAGCTTTGTTCAACAGTTAGTTGTGTATAGATTTCACGAGCTTTACCAATTAAGACGCTCTGTAAAAGTAAATGTCCATTGCTCTCTTGGCCATTTTAAATTTTCAGCAACCTTTTTCAAAATGAAGAAAATACTTATCAACTTCTTTTTCTTGGAAAGGTGGAACAAGCCTAATATTTTTAGTGACATCAAATTTTGAATTTATTCTATATTCAAACTGATTTGCTCTCTCTTTGATTTCTAATGCTCTCATTCTTAACTGAAATTCTCTCTCTTATCTTTCTTTTTCTAATTTTCTCTCTTCTCTTTCTTTTTCTAATTTTCTCTCTTCCCTTTCTTTTTCAAAATGCCTTTCCCTTTCTTGTTCTTCCCTTTCTTTTTCTAACTGCCTTTTTTCTCTTTCTTTTTCTAACTGCCTTTCTTCCTTTTCTTTTTCTAACTGCATTTTCTCAAGTTTAAATTTAAATTGAAGTTCAAGCACTCTTATCTTTATTTCAGAAATTTCAGAGTGTTTTTCAACAATGTGAGAAAGTGCATCTTCTCCAAAACTATCTTCATCCACAAAATTATGAATCAGAAGATTTTTAATTTCTTGTTCACGCATTGAAGATTTAATTTCTGATAAATTATACTTTTTTGCAAGATCAAGCGAATCAGTTTTCTTAGCCAAATCTAATACCTCCTTGGAAGGTTCAGCTACAAACTTTTCTAAAGCAAAAGACATGACTGCTTGCTGCTGGTTTTAAACTTAAATGTGGTGTGTTTTTTTTTTAAATCAGAATTGAAAAGCACACTTAATAGAACAACTATGATATCAACTCAGATGAGTAAATACGGTAATAATAAAATGTAAAATAAACGGTAATAATTTCCAATAATGTAGCAAAAAATAAATATTCAATCCCGGACGAGTCCCCATTTTCTGTTACGAGCCAGGCGTAACAAGAAAGAAAAGCCAACAACAAACTTTGTAACAATAACAAATTATTACAGAAAAAATTATTTTAAAGGGAAAAATTAAATAACAAAAATTATGTTTACAAATACCTGAAGTCCAAATAAAAAATTTAAATTTCAAATGTCTAGTCTGATCCTGGAATGATCCCTTTTTGAAATAGCACAGTTAAATCCAAGTTAAAAAATCCAAGAACACTTTTAAAATAAATTCCCAAACAATTAAAATCCACAAGAAATAATTTTTAACTATTTTAAAATAATCCAACTCCAATAAATCACTTAATATACAAGGGTTGAATATACAACCGAATATTACTGATGACTTAAAGGTAACTGATGCCCCTTAAAAGATAAAAGTAATGGAAAAATGTCACTTTATTATATATTAAATAAGAAAATTTCAGAAAAGTTATTATGTTCTGCAAGTAATCATATTTTTGGGAACTTCAACAATAAAGAAAATTCCCGGGAAATTCTTTCTAAAAAATTTAAAGCATGAATCATAATCTAGAAATTTTTTACAACAGTTTGGGAAAATTCTAGTAAAATACAAAGGGAGTTTATGTGCCCAAAAAAAAACAATTAAAAATAAATTTGGGAATACCAAAATTTTTCAGATATAAAAATTTTATAAATTTTTTATGTTGCCCTTTAAAAAAGTTTTTAGAAAAATCTTAAAACTTAATTGTTTAACCCCAAAAAATTAAAATAAACCCAAAATTTTTGTTTTACTATGGGTTTTTAATTATATGTTCCCAAAAAAACATATCACGTTTTTAAGAAAATTCATTTTTTAAACCCTTTAAAACCCCGAAACATGCCCCATGTGTTTCAATTTTTTAGAGGAAAAAAGGCAAAAAATAGGGATTCGAAATTTTTGTTGGTTCCCTGGTTAAGTATCAGTTACCGTCAATTTAACATAAGATTGAGATTATTATAATTTGCAAAGAACGGGCATGTTTTCGAGAACAGTCTTTATATAAATGTTTTTTGTTTTTTTTATTATTATTATTATTTGTTTGTAATTATAATATACATTGCATAATATTTTTTTTATTCACAAGAGATACACAGTCAAATATAACAATTTTGACAAATACATATATTGTATTACTTCATTATGAGAATACTTTCTTTGACAAGTAATGAGCTTCATTTCAGGCATGCATATTTGAAATTACGTTTCTTGATTGTGCGTGATAAATCCAATCGAAATACACAATTAGCAGTGCATGAAATAATTTTGCTATAAAAGAAAAATCATATGTTTTTTATCCTATGTTTTTTTTAAACCAATATAACCATCTTTAATTATTGATTCATTTTTATCAGTTTTATTAACATACAAATCTATATTGCTATTGACAAATAGTGAACCAAATGATGTTTGCGTTTTATAATCAAAACTGGCAACACACTTGAGAAAAAATATTAGAAACTTGTTCTTTACAATAGTGCTAAAGTAAGACGAAACAATAAAACAATCATTGACATTTCTTAGCGTTTCAAATAGGTCTAAAAGGTTTCAAACGAAAATAGTTTTTTTATTATGATACAATCAAAAGAAGGTTTAAAGAAACGTTTATTGTATATTAGAAATAATACAGTTATTTACTTTCTTTGGAAAAAAAATGATACACCTAGAATATTAAAATTATATTATTATAGAAGTTGTAACTTGTGTTAGCAAATATAATTTGAAGATAAACTGCACGAAATAAAAGGAAAAGATTTTTGTTTTACATCATTTATATCAACATGCACTTAATTTATAACCCTTTTATTCAGCTGTAGTCATCAGATAAGGAAAAAAATTGATAGTTAACACAGAAATCGAGAAAATTAACATATATTTATGAATGTGAACACATTTTTAATGAAATTATAGCAATCCCATGTATTTGCAAACATCAGTAAACAGGAATCAAATGGCTTACAGTTTATATACTTATATTTTCAACATATTAGCTGTGGTTAAAAAATATTTGTATATGACCCATATGGATCTTAGCCCGTCCTTATTCTGCGAAATGCTGTCGAACGTTAGCATACCCAGACAGGAATTTAAATTCAAGTTAAGAACTTTAAAGATGGCAAAGTACCTATTTTTCAGGTCTAAAAACTGAGTTTCTTAGTCAATAAGAAGGATCGAATCTCATAAAAGCCGAGTTTAAAAAAATGGCTGAGTTGAGTGTTAATAATGTTTTGGAGAGGTTCATATTGGGCCAACGTTTTATTAAAAAAAACAATACCATAATTTGTTTAACAGTTTAGGGTATTACCATTTACACGTCTTCTATGCAACGTTATGATTTTGCGCATAATGTGCATTACAAAATAATTTCCATGACAACCATTGTTTACATAAATCTTGGACTATGTGGATTATTAACTGCTTCAGATGTAAATTGATTTATATTTCAGTTGCTGCATCAGGAAACCAACGAAGAACTAAGTATGAAAATTCTTATAACAGGCGGTGCGGGTTATCTCGGCTCCACGATGATTCCTATGCTTTTGCAGAAAGGTCATGAGGTTACGCTTTATGATATTTTCTTTTGGGGCATAAGTCCAATTCTACCGATTGCAGACAACAACAATCTTAAAATCATCAAAGGAGATATCCGTGATAGAGAACATCTTGCCAATGTGATGACAGGAAAAGATGCCATTATTCATCTTGCAGCCATCGTCGGCTACCCGGCACGCGATAACGATCCAGAATGCGCAATAAACACAAATATTGAGGGAACAAAGAATATCAGTGAATTAAAAATAGCAAACCAAATATTAGTCTACGCCAGCACTGGATCTTGCTATGGTGCTGTTAAAGGATTGTGCAGTGAAGAAACCAGTATAAGTCCACTGACACTATATGGCAGCAGCAAGGCAGAAGGGGAAAAAATGGTTCTTGCTGTTGGTGGAATCGCGCTTAGACTTGCAACTGTTTTTGGTTTGTCCCCACGCCTGAGGTTGGATCTTCTTGTTAACGAACTGACATATAAAGTTGTGTCATGTAAAGAGTTTGACCTTTACGAAGGTAGTTTCCGTCGAACATTCTTACACGTTAAAGACGCTGCACAAGCATTTATATTTGCGATTGAGCATGCATCAGAAATGAAAGGACAGGCATACAACGTAGGTGATGAAAAAATGAATATGACAAAATATCAGTTGGCAATGCTTATTCAGAAAAACGTTAAAGGTAGCAAAATAACAGAATCAAGTTCGGGCGAAGATAAGGACAAGAGAGATTACGAAGTGTCCTATGCTAAAATAAAAATGCTTGGGTATAAATCTACATTATCTGTAGAGCAGGGAATCAGGGACATGTTGAAAGTCTTTCCGCATATACTTCGTACTGAAATTGGAAGTTGCAAAAATATGAAGATTCCAATTTGAGTTTTTTTTTTCTTCGTTTCCGATATAGATGAGTCAATATATATTTGACGATGGCATTGAGCCCCTTTTATGATATAACATTGATTTATTTCAAATGTCAGTGGTATTTTATTGTTCTTATTCGTAGTACATCTGATCAAGTCACTTTAAAAATGTCAAGCAACCCTATAGAAGTTACAAGTTAGTATATGTTAAATTGGGTTATTATCACTGTAATTTTAATAGCTTTGAATATGCATTTATTGTGTATTGCTTTTTCTTGTTACTATTGTTTTATTTTTGGAAAGACTAATAGGACTTTTGAAACTATCAAGTTCTTGACCAACAAGAGTTATGACTGTCATATAAATAATAATGATAATAAAAGATATAAAAACATAGCTGTTCAGTTTCCAGTAACATATTAGAAGTCAAAGTGATTTGAGGAGATATGATAATGGGGCAAGTAAACATGTAGTTCAGTTTGAAAAATCATTGTGTAATCTGACTGGTTAATTATCTCGTGCACACGACTTACTTATGTCGTTCCCACGACTTACAAGCTCGTGGCCAATACATAGTATCTCGTGGCCACGACATAGTATATTGTGGCCACGACTCAGTTATCTCGTTGCCACGACTTAGTAACTCGTGGCCATGACATAGTATCTCGTTCCCACGATTTAACAATCTCGTTGCCACGACTTAATAACTCTTGGCCACGACATAGTTACGCACATGATAAATAAATACACACACACACGTCACAGATGTCCCAGCGTATATTCTTCCTAATGTCTATAATTGCTTTTTTGACGGGGAGAGATAAAATCACACTTTCCACATTTCTGTATTAACCGGATGTTTGTTGTGTCTAAAGCACACATACAACTATCATTTGGAGATGCGTACACGTCAAAAACATACCTTATTGTCAATTGTGCATTATTCATGTGTAAAGTAAGTTTTAAGTGGCGTGTATACGACAGTTAGTCTGTCACGTTTCTTTATACTAATAATATTTGTGTAACTTTATACGAAGATGTTTGTCAATAATCTATATTATTTTATTTGCTGATACTTTTAATTCATAGTGTGTTGATAAAAGTTGATAAAAGTGGAACTTGTTGCTATATACATGTTGGTAATAAGATTAAAGCATTCGATTTGACAAGAAACGTAGTCAGAATAACAAAGTTGACATAGGCCTCAGTACGCCCTATTTTGGCCACCCTCAGATTTCCCACACGTAAAGTATAGGATATTTTCATTCACATAGATGATAAGTTGATAAGTCTTAATTTCGAAACAGGCAACTCGAAATTTCGAGTCAGTTTGTCAAAATTGCGAGTCAGTAACCCGAAATTTCGAGATAAGTTAAAGCACAAATCTGGCACTGATGATCTTTCGTACGTAAATGGCCAGATGAAAAGAAAATTATAAAACAGTGATTTTTTCAATAAAAGTAATATTTCTATGTTTTGGTTCTTACTATTGTTATCGTTTACACATACTTGGATTTATTTGAAAATCTCGCAATTTTGTTGCAGTTCTAAGACAATTGTATTTACATTTTACTTATTGTTTTACTATTTTCATTTCAATTGTTTAAATATTGTTACCCTTATTATGACAACACCGACATACAGTATACCGGACTTCATGTCATTACCACAGCTGCCAGCACCGAAATATCACGGATTTGTTAGTAATCCAATACACAACGGGGATTACACTAATCAGCAATGTAATACTGATAAGAAATAATAACCAGTAAATGTAGGGTAAATTATTTTAACTGTTGGTCAAATTAAACATAAATAATCCAGGATGACGCAATGTTTTCAGTTTTATTCATTTGTAAAAAGTTCAGAAAAATGGCAGATTTCTAGATTATATTGTGATAAACTGTATTTTTTTGTCAAATATCATATTTCAGTTTGTATACACAAGTTACTTACACATTGAGTTTAATTATATTTGCACGAAAACATGATCTGAATTATTCAGCTTTGTGAAATAAACAGTTTTATTTACTATTTGCTTAATAATGTTGATACGTTTTTACATTTCTTATGAATTGTGTAAGCAATTTATAAACTAAAACTCTATGAAATAAAATAATGTTGATACCATTGCGTAGATATTTTAATCTTCTTTCAAAAAATATACAGGTTTAAATATCAAATGATAATTTAATAATAATAAGGTAGAACGAGCGGTTTAAGTCACCTAACCCCACTTAACCTTAACCAAACTTTTGTTACATAAATTAATTCGGCACTGCAGGTAGTTAGCAATGGTAATTTACTCGGCATGATAAGGGCTAAAATGGCTCGATCTTGCCAAAAGAATATCTTTATACATAAAGTTTCAAAGTTTCGAAGTTTTATTTCAGAAATATCCTTTAGGCCAAAAGCCTATGAGTACAATATTTTATACAGTGTACATGTTGAAAAAAAAACATGATAACATCTTGTAGCCGTCTAAGCCTCATAGCTAAACGTATAGTTATAAACATGATCAACATGCAATCTATTTTGTTAATACTGATTATGACATACTTTATACATTCGCATTGCTTCATCTTTCAAAGTGTGCTGTTGAGTGCACTAGAATTGTGTGTCCTAATAAGTATATTCATAGGCTTCGCAAAGACCAAACAAAGTTATCTGAAATATCACAATGTCATATATCATTTACATTTTATATTGTGCCTGATGTTTACTTGAATGCGAATGAGAAAAATTTATCACAGACAAATTCAACTTTTTTTTTCCAGAAAATAGTGCTACATTACAAGTAGTACATAAGGAAATGGATATTATGTTCAACACTTAACAGAATTTAGAGACATTTCCAGATAACATACATGAAATGACAATGTTACTTTGCAATTTAATGTAATATTTGCAAAACTTGACATACGCCCATTCTCAATAAAATAAAGAATTTGAGGTTGAAAAATATTAAAAATTTGATGTTGTCATTGTGTCATTTTTTATCGCTGAAGTAAAAGTTTAGGGTATTTTGCAAGTTTGCCAGAAATATTTTGAACAAGAAACTATGATATAACAGGATGGCATTTATTTCGGTAATGACACTGTATTTCTTCGGTAACGTAGATTTCAGATCTAATAATGTAACATATTGGCTGCATATTAATAACAAATGTCTGTAAAATATATCAAAATCTGTAAATTCTCTATCTAGAGGGACTTTCTAACCCAGGAAAATTCAAAGAAGTTGGGTACCTTGCTAATTTTCAGTCAATTTTTTCAAAGTTAAATATTCGTAGAAAGCAAAAATAGTCAATTTTGAAAATGATTATTTTATGTCTTCATTCAAAGGATATATATCATATATAATATATGTAATATTTGCAAACACTTGACATATCATGGCAAAGATCAGTCTTTCGGACCTAACACACAAGCATGAAATCAGTAGGAAACTTGTTTGTCTTACAGGCAAGAGAAAAGCATAATTTGCCCGCCCGCAACAGCTGTTTAATTTTTAACATTGCCTTGACAACTCGTGTGAATATCGCATCTTGTGCTACCGCATATAACCTGCCTCAATTCAACAAATTAGATATTACTTATTGAAATAACTAGTTGATATGACAAATATTCATATTGATATTGCTCTAGAGAACATATTTGATTAACAATCATTTTGTATGTCCATTTCTTAAATATATACTTGTATAGAGTAAGACGGACAAATATATATTATCAGGTTAATGCATTAACGTTTATATAATGCCTGCGGGCAAGTTTCATTTATTTTTATAGTAATATCAAATTGTCATAGCAAATATACACATAAAACATATCTGGTTATATTTCCTTATTAAATATTATACACACTACTATTGTGTAAACATTCAACATTTGTTTTATTTATCATTGTAGGTTTATAATTCTAAATTATCATATATCAATCTGTTAATGTCTATATACATGCAACGTTATCAAAGGCTCTACTTTTCTTAGCATTGAATATTAGCTTCAACAGTATTACTATATAAATAAGCACACAGAAACATAAATGCCTTGTGTACATACACACTTAAATTTGTCACTGAAACTTCATTATCAGATAAAATTAATTGAATAAATTTATACATATTTGGTGTATATCTATAAAACCTAGGAATATAAATGGTTCTTTATATGTTTTCTCTGCTCGAAAGGAATCGCTTTGTCCGTCTGTCGCGTTTAATACTTAGTCTATGAGATTGCATAGTCAATCTTGATAAGCTAAATCGAAACTTTTGTATAAAAAAAAAACAAACAATGATATCACTACATGTAGCATTATTATTTAACTTTTATAAATGGTTCATTGAATTTTTTTAATTAAAATGACCCTAAATCTAAACATTTACCCAAGGTTTAATTAAATATAAATGTAAATGAAAATTTCAAATAACTTATTTAAATTATCATATGTTTGCATAATATTTATGGATGGGATTCACACATGGACAAAATAGCACTTCCAAAATGACAATACTGACAATTAATTCAAATGTGACTTTTGATTGACCTTGAACATCAAGGTAATATATGAAATTTGGATTTTTTTGTTACAAAAAATAATTATGTTTTGTTAGAGTTACATACATGTATTTGCGTAATTATTGATAATTTATACCTTATTGAAATAGTCAGAATGTCTTCAAAGGACTTGCATTTGAAAGCTCAAAATATTGGATGTTGACCAAAAAAAGGGCAATTATTTATATTCTTGCATAATATAATGTTTTGTGTTAATAAATGCACAATATTAAGGTTTTTGATATTAAACCTCATGGTGTGCATCTAGCTAAATTATATGCAATGACTTGAACTTTTTCATCAATATAATTAATTTAGATATTCTTTGTACATTTGCAGAGAATGTAATGTAATGCAGTAATAATGAATTTTAAAGAGTGCTTATGAATGATATTACAGAAAGTAAAAATTAACTATTGCACTTAATAGGTGTATTAAATTAGGGAAACAAATTTTCTTTATTTTAAAAGGAACAAAAAAATCAGATGTTTTAAATATATACTATGCCAATTCTTGAGATAAGTATTTTAATTCCCAAAAATATTAAAATATATGACATTATTACTGAATATGTCTAGTATGAATAAAAGAATGAATACAGTTTGTCGGGGAAGCTGCATTCCCCATTACAGTACACATAATGTTGGTCTTTTTTTTAAACTTTTCTTAAAAAGACTGTTGTTTTTTATTAATGACACTATATATTTATTTTGTGTTTACCATTTTTTTACACAACATATCTTTTTTGTGTGAAGTCATACCGCCTCCGTGGTCGAAGACTTGTAATCCAGTAACCTCCCTGGCGTTGGTTCGATCCCCGGGAGATGCTTTGGTAGTTTAGCACGGAGAAAGGTAGTCTAGTACTGGTGTAACTCTCCAGGAACGATGGTTAGGAAACTACCCGCCTATAAGACTGAAATACTGTTGGGAAAGGCGTAAAATGATACAAACAAACAAACAATTGTGGGAAGTCAAACATGTTTTGTTTTATATTTTCATAGAGACTGTGTAGCAATAAAGAACATTTTCTAATATAAAATTTGAACGTTAGTATATCTTTTAAGTTTAAACTTTTAAAGTTCTGCAAAATTTTGATCATAGATAAAGTGAGATAAATATTCTGGGAATTGATACAATCATCAAAATGTGTTATAAATCAG